ATATTCTTTTAATTACTTATTTTATGAAGAATGAAGTGGTACGGGGACTGTGGTACCAACAAGAATAGTAGAGTAATTCAAGAGAAGAAAAGTCAGTATTTTCTCTATGCTACTTTTTAAAGCATCACACCTAAAACTCTAGATGCATTGAATTTCTTCCACTTCCCCTAAGTATTGGTGAAGGATACCGGATTCCCCAAATTTAGAAAGAACGTTAAAACCATGGATATTAAGGATGTCCCAAGGGACTTCTTCAATTAAATTACTATTAGAGATGAGAAACATTTTTTTGTGAAGAGCACTTCAGAAAAATGTCATGACCTTATAATTATGACATACATTTTCATAAAATTGTATTGACAGTTACGGTCAGAACAAAAAAAATAAATACACGATTTTTTTAATATTTTTTTTTCCCCCCAAAGAGACACTGTAACTAATCTAATTTAGATATTTTAATTAACTTTCACAGTACCTGGAAAAAATCATTTATATAACTTGTCCAATCCTGGATTTGTTAAGAGTCAGCAGCCCAACATTTGATTCCTTTGGATGAATTACCTATTTGACTTTATAAGAGCAGCATTAGCGCATGTCCCTACCAGTTCATTTACATTCTGATAACAAGAAGTAACTGGCATAATTGTATGAGATTTAAATGAAGGCAGCCAACTCTTACACATTTCTTTTGGAGTGTTTTCTTTCCTGATAAAATAATAACCAACCAAATAAATTATATGAAAACTTTAAATTCCATGATGGATTATTTTCAGTTGAGAGCTAGATTGGTTTCAATACTGAACATTTGTAGTCTACGGCATTTCTTTTTTCCTTTTGCCTCAAAATACTTGATATGTCCAAAGCCAAAAATATTTACAGTAGACAGCAAAAAGATGTCTTTTAGAAGTTATCTGCTAAACATAGATAAATTTAGACATATTTTTGAATGTATATAGATAAAATAAAATAAAACAAACAAACAAAAAAACAACAAACAAAACCAAACCCAAACCCCTTTTGTTTTCTTTGATTTCTGTAAGGAAGAAAACCTGTTTTCTAGTTAGATCAAATACAATTTTTTTTTGTCTTTGTAGAATAGCTATCATATCCTACAATGACAGTATTAAAGTCAAGAGGGTGTTTTGAGGATGGACATGTGGAAGTTCTGTAGATAGCTATGAGGTTACAGGGGTATAATTACTAATTAAGTAGCAGTAACTCAGACGTGTAGTGCTTTGCTCGGGATCAGAAATTCCCTATTAGCTGTATGTAATGGGAGTGGATCGTGCCCTGTCTTGCTGCAAGTGTTCTGCTTTGCAGGATGACATCTTTTGCTTTCTGCCCCTCTTGCGTTGTGTTAGAAGAAACTGGGATTACACTGAAGGAAGAAGTTCCTTGCATTATTGAGAGCTTCTACAACACAGTACAGAAAAGACTAAGAAAAAGAGACAAAGCTTTTAGCTGGACAGGTAATGAGGTGGGGATATTTTGGGCATGTAAATGCAGAGGAAAAATTGAGTATGACAGACTTAGAACCATACCCACAAACATACAAAGGAGAAGGAAAATTAAAATAAACTGTGGAGGAGTAATTGTGACCTGCTAATCCTTTATGTCTTCATTCTGTTTGTGAACTCTTAAGTCATGAGTCATGATAGTTTAGTGGTCAACAGTTTTCTATTTTGTGTTTTCCAGTAGAGGCCCATTAGGCATCAGCATGTGGGAAAAGACATCTCTGTCAGTCCACACCTCAAAGTTTTCTCCCAGCATTGGCTTCCTTCCTTCCCTCCTGAGAAGTATGTTAGAGCAAAACCATGGCTGGACTGTCCGTGTCTTTAAAAGATTGAAACTGCCACCTATACTAGGAAATGAAGCTTGGCTTTAGCACCTTTAAAGACATAAACATTATGTACTTGTGCAGCTAGGTACTAAAATTCAGTTCTCCGAAGACATGTACAGGAATAAAACTACTGAAGAGTCCTGAATCCTGACAATTCAGATTGTATGGTGTTATGCACATACATATAGGCCTTTTTAGGCTTTGGCCATCATCATAACTGGTTAATGAAGCCAGGTAAGAAACACAGCTCAGAATGTCCTACATGTCCTGAGTGGAAATACTGCAAATATTGTCAGTCATTACATCACTTATTTATTTTGCCTTAGTTTCTCAATTTTAAAATGTTTGAATTCTTGAATACTACAGCAGGAAAAGTCTGAAGAAAGGCTGTGGGAATCACGAGATACAGGTTTTATTAATGACTATGTTAATGACTTCATAGGTGATTTTAAGCAGGTGATTAGGACTAAATCCTCAAAATTGTCCACTTAACTTGAGATACCTAAAATATCTCTAGTTAGATGTTTTACAATTAAAGCACTCAAAACTCAGAGTCACTTCCAAAATGTAGCCCTTTAATCATTCTCTTTCTCACTTCTCTGCTCTGTAAAGTGATGATAATACCGACTTTTGAAAAGCCAGTTCTTTTCACATTTAATTGATACTACCGAGCTGATGCGTAATTTAAAATCATCAAAAAAAAATTAGCAGAAGCTGGTAATGATAGTTACACACTTATGGGCGCACTTATTACTCTGCTGCAACTTTTTAACTGTGAAATGAGTTTGCCTTGGATTATCACATGCAACAGTGACAGATGCTGCCAACCCTGTACAGGGTTCTGGGTAAGACGGTAGGATTAGTCCTTCAGTGCAGTGCATACGCCCTGCCACTATTCCCAGGAACCTTACAACGTCCCGTGATGGCCAGGCATGCAAATACCAAGTTGCTCTGACTCCAAGCTTCCCTTATTTTAAAAAATTTCTTCAGATATACTCACACTAAATAGTTGAGGTCTTTCTAGCCTGTTCTTCTGGGGAGAATATGCTGTATCCTGCCACATGTTGTATGGCTTGCACTCCTGTAGTGTATGAGGAAGCGGAAAGTCTATTCCATTTCCTGGAGGCAAACACACTCAGATCCCCTCAGAGAGTTTCTTTTGGGGAAGTCCATCTCAAATGGGGAACAGTTTCCAGTAGCAACGATACCTTGGTACTCTACTAAGAGAAATAAAAAGAGCAAAAGCCAACAGGAATATGGAAAAATGACTACTGATCCCAAAATGCATTGGGTGTCCAGCCTCAGGGAGCTGTGACAACCTGAAGACCAGCTTTCCTACAATGAAAGGAATTGAATTTAGCACTAGACTATGCTTGCTCCTTGCCTGAAATTGCTTAGCTGGTAGAGAAGGACATGTCCTTTTCCCTGCTTACTCTACATGTTTGGTTTGGGTTTGGTTTATTTTTTTTTTTGATACGATGCAAAATAATTAATTCAAGCAGCATATATACTTTATTATTATCATTATCATTATTATCATTATTATCATTATTATCATTATTATCATTATTATTATTATTATTATTATTATTATTATTATTATTATTATTATTATTATTATTATTTTAAAATACTTTTATTTTCAGGCAGGAAACAGCCTAGAAAGGCAAGACTGAATTTCATGTTCCTGTCCTTTTCTGGTCCTGATGAAGAGAGTGAGCTGTACCTTTAGAAAAACACTTCTTCCAAGGCTCACCCCATGTGCATGGAGAGGCTGATTTAGGACAGGGGTTCTCTATTGCAGCCTGATCTATTCCAGAATTCTCTCCTTGTCACTCTGTCCCAAAATTACTCCCAGCAAGAACAATCTAGTGATTGAGTCTGAATATCAACAGACTCCTATTACAGTCCTGAGCAACACCTGTTAATTGCAAGTTTCCCTGGCCAAGAAATGTGTTGTAAATTTGCAAGATGAGTGTTGATAAACCAAGAACAGATCTGGGTTTTAACCTGCACGAGTTTCTCCAGCAACTCCATGTCTAGAACAGCAACAATCCTACAAATGGCAAACCCACAGTGAATGCGGCCAGCAAGGAAAGCTACATACATGAAGGCTGAGAGGATACGTGTACTAGACCAAGCGGAAGCCTATTTATGTATTTGGGGTACATTTCTAGTATAGAAATACCATTGTATTTTACCAGAGAGATGTACAGTGCTAAAGCTTTTTATATCAGTATAATAAATTCACCTTCCACAAGAAAGAAAATAATAAAAGAATCCCACAATGGTGAGAGTCCCTGGCACAGCTGTGTTTGTCTGGCATCATACTGCTCCACAGCCCTGCCTAACTGAGCCAGAAATCTCTAGCCTAGATGTGACCTAAGCACATGTTCTGCAACTGGTGGTATGTTGTTGTAGCACATGCAGATATGCTTAAATTGGCTGTAATCTATCTAGCTCAGATAAAAACTGTTAGGAAGGTATGATATCATGGGTTTCAGTCTTGGCTAGCAAACCAGGTGCAGGCTGGCTGGTCGGTGCTGCACTGAAGTCACAGTGTCACTATATCTGACAGAACCAGGTACCTTAAAGCTGCAAACCCTGCAGTTCCACGTCGGTTGCAATGCAGATGTATTCTGAGAGATTTACTCCATATGAAAGCTAACAAATTGAGGTAGAGTTTAGTATGTTCTTTTAAAAGAGGTTGGGAAGAGTACCAAATGTATAATTAAACTTGAGAGAGCTGGAGAGCTAATTAATCATACATTGACAAGGTCTCTTTTGCTGAGACATTCCACAGAGAACATTAGGAGTGCCTTAAGTAACTTCCTCAGGTACACGTTTTGCGAGTGAAGAATAAATTAGAAGGAAATTGGCTGGACACAAGGGAAACCTTGGAATGGAGCTGGAGCTTGGACCAAGCTCAATGAGACTGGGCTTTTCCCTCATCCTTAGAAAAGATGAATTAGCTGTTGGTATACCCTAAAGATCATTCATAGCATGACAGGCATGAAAACACTCTTGAGGATGCTTTTTTTCATAACTGTGTGTCCAAAATTAGATATCTAAATAATAATTTGACTTTCAAAGATAGTCAGAGTTCACCAGCAGTCATTCAGTTCTTGCCAGGAAGGGACTAATCACACTAACACTCAGCTATCACACTTATATAAGCATATCCATTAAGTTCAAAGGAATTCAGTGAATGTACTCATACTAGTGAACATCTTCACATATATGTTGTTTGGTAGGTGTCCATGTCCATTCAGAGCCAAAGTTCCTCCAATTTCACAAGGTTTATAAGTTGGGTTTTGGCTTTTATTTCATTTTTGACACAAAGATGTTTCTGAAAATCTCTCCTCCATGCAAGCTTTTATTCCTTGTGCATCTCTTCAGTATAACTTCAAGAAATTACACTCCTTTAAAAAATAAAACAACAGAAAATCTCGTCTTGTTCTTTCATATTGCTGTATTTAGAAAATGCTGAAAATTTGCTGACAGTTCTCCAAGGTTTAAGCAGTTCTCCAGGAAAGCACTAGAAAATGATACAAGAATTAGTTTTGTAAAAACTCACCCAGATATAATCCCCTGCCACTGGGACTGTGAAAAAAAAAAAAAAAACAAAAAACAAAAAACAAAAAACAAAACAAAAAAAAACAAACCAAAACAAACAAATCCAAACCACCAACAAAACCACAACTAAACCTCTTGAAAAACCAGTCGAACTATCTATCAACCCTGGAGAAGAACACTTCAAAATCAGTTGTAATTGTGGCTGCAATAATTGAATGAAGCCTATTGCGAGTCCTGGAAGGACTTTACACACTCCCTCCACCAGATAGTGCTGTTTCTCCACAGAGCTATTGAGGAGTCTCCGGCCAGGGAAAGGTCAGGGGCTGACTCGAGGTAAGTGAGTGCCTACAGCTGGCTGGTCCCTCCCTGCCACTGCCACTGCCACTGCCACTGCCACTGCCACTGCCACTGCCACTGCCACTGCCACTGCCACTCTACCTGACACGGGGGAGACACAGCCTGAGAGGGATGTGCGGGAGCAAAACCCTGTCTAGGAAGGCTGTGGTCTGCAGATGACTGTGTGCTGGTGTTGCTGTTGTCGCTGTTACCAGTTTGATGCAGTCTCTTTCCTAAAGTAAGAGTGCAAATAGACGCTGATGCAAATAGGCTGCGCTTTTATGATCTCTCAGGGGTCTTTTCCTTAGAGCTTTACAGAATACCCTTGCCATGCCGTGGTCTGTCAAGTAATCAGTCGGACTGAAGCAACACTAATGAAAAATCAACACACCAATGTGCAGACGCTCCCGAAGGTGAGCAGCGTATGGTGGGAGCAGTCCTGACACAAAGTGACGTGCAGCTTGGTCTCAGAGGGCCAAGCAGAGGGACTCCTACCAGCAGAAGTTACTTCTGGGGAGTAAATGGACAGATCTCAGTAACCAGTCCTGAGTCAGACTCAGTAGACTAACCAGACTCAGTAACCAGCCCTGAGTCTGCGTACCATGTGCGTGTTTAAAAAAAAAAAAAAAACAACAAAAAAAAAACCACCAAAAAAAACAGCTGGGAGGAATACTGAAAATATAATTAAACTACAGGGCACAATTTACTACTCTGCTGTAGTCTTTGTAACAGATACAAAAATGCATCTAGAGTGCTTCTTACTGCCTTTCTGCAGGAGAGATATTGCATGTGCTGCATCTTCCTCTCTTGACCTCCCTATGAGAAACAGAAGGAATAGCATTTGCACTTCAACTCTTAAAGAACCAAAACCTTCTGAATATACAGCAAGAGAACAGAAAATAAAATTCAAGCAAACAAATTTGTAGAAACTCTTCAAGTGCAAAATGGTACTTACAGTTGGAATGTTCTTTGCTGTCTGTTATTCAGAGTTTTTGAGACCACTGCGCCAATTTTTTGGATGAACTTTGCAGGAAGCATAATGCTGCTCAATGTACCCAAGTTATTGGATTTTAAGAATATTGTTCTAGGGTATTTTGGTAAGTTAATAACTGCTTAGTGTTAGAAGTTCAGTCTTGACATAAATATGCTTTCCCAAAGCATAATTAAAAAATAAAAATAAATGAAAACAGTGCAATGTGTGTGTGTATTTTCCTAAGCAGTGTAAGGCTGGAGCTGTCTGATTCTAAATGAGCTTGTAAATCCTTATTCATGCATGCAGTCTTAGAAAAAATTATTTGTGAAACTAAACCTTAGCTTGCTTCAGTGCATGCAAAAGTGCAGATGGCTCAAATTAGGTATCGGGGCCTAGCTATGTATGCAGTAGATTGTATATATAATTAGCCAAATATAAGGTTTATTTATATTACTTTGTATGCTGTGTTAATATTGACTGTATTTATTCAGACTTTCGTAATATGCATGTGCGATCTCACAGAGATGCTAGGTCATTAAACTCACCATGGAGACTGTGTTTACTTAAATCTTACCTTGGGCATTAGGAATACATGTAGTTGCAAGTCTCCTAAAAATAAACAGAAAAAATGAAACAGTGTATCAATTTGGCTTCTATGTTTCCCAATATCTAAGGAAATGGAGCATACTGTTTACATTGCCATTATTGAGAAACAACACAAACACATCCAGAGGAAAGATTTAATTATGCTGTTCTTTCTGACACACTGAATGTAAGATCATATAGCTTAATATATACTACTATATGTGCTAGGTTGGGAATGGGGGTGGGAAGAAAGGAGTAGGTGATTCTTGTATTCCTAGGGGGGCCTTCGAGTACAGTCCTTTACAGAAGTAATGCAACAGATGTATCACAGCTGCTGTGAGCCCCGGAAAGGCTGAATTGCAAAGGAAGACATTTCCCATAATTGGCTCCATGTCACAGCTTTGTATCAAATAATTCTGCTTGGGGATTGTCAAAAATGATAATGAACACAGAGATTTCACTGTACTTCTATTTTGACTAGTAGATTAAGTGCCAACAGGCACCAAAAAGTCTTTCTTCCATTAATGTGAATGCTGTCATGACCCTTAGGCTTCATTAGTACTGTTTCTGGAAACTACTCCGGAAGCACAGATATTGGAGCTATTTGATCAGCTCCAAACATAACACCTGCCTCCTGAGCCATTACCTGTAGAAATCCATAATTATCTGTTCTTTGCTCTCCAGTCAGGAATATCAGGTCCAGATCAAGGACAAGATGCTCATCTTTTATGTCCTTACTCCACTGGATCCAGGCAATTGAGTTTCTCCCTTTTACACTTCCTGAATCTTCGAAGCACCCCAGCTGCCTGCCTGGGTGCGAACGCTGGCCCTTGGCTTCTCCTGTGGTATTACAGTGAATTCAGATCCGACTGAGGGACAAAGCCCATTCCTTTTCCAATGCCTTTCTCACAACAGACTGGCAAAATCAGTAACTAAAAGTAAAAAAGGCAGCAGTATTTTTCACCGAAGGAAACCGTCTAAACCCCGAGTACGTTTGTTCTGAGGAGAAAGCCAAGTTGCACATTGTTTCCCGGTTATTTAATGCGGTACTTGGTACCACGGTGATGAAAATACATCTTACATGGCATGTACAGAATGCTCAATAACACAGTAAGTACACCCTTTCACACTTTCAGAAGACTTTTTTTTTTTTCTTTTTTTTTTTTTTTCCCCCCTTTTAGGTACCCTTGCAGGGCAGCGGCGGCTGGCCCCCCCGGTGCCCCCCCCTCAGGGCCGGCTCACAGCCGGGGGGGCTGAGGTGGGGCAGGCTCTGCCGGGCCAGGTGATCCGCAGCAAACAAAGGGCCTGGCAGCCACCCGGCCGCCCCACGGGCGTTTTCTGTCCGCCGCGGGTCGGGCCGCCACCCGAGGCGGCGTCTCCCCGCGGGGGGAAGCGCGGCCGCGGGCCGGGCCGGGCCGGGCCGGGCGGGGCGGGCCCCGGGAGGCCGCTTCCCCTGACGGCGGGCGGCACTTCCCGGCGCTCGCACACCGCGGGGAAACTCTTCCTTCGGCCCGGCCCCCGCTGACGTAGCGGTGCCTCTGCCGCCGCCGCCGCCGCGGCGGGGGCCGTGGGGTGGGGGGGCGGCCGCGCGGGCGGGGGCTCGGCGCTGTCAGGCGGCGGGGCCGGGGCGGGGAGCGGCGGGGCCGCGGAGCGGGGCGGGGAGGGGCGCCCGGCGGCGCGGGGGAAGCGGCGGCGGCGGCGGCAGCGCCGCGCGGCGGCCGGGGGCAGGACCTCTGCCGGCCGGCACGGTACTAAAGGCGGGCGGGCGGGCGGGCGGTTTGCGGCCGCGGGTGGTTTTTCCACGCTTTGGGTTCGCCGCTCTATCTTGCGAGGAAAAGGAGGAAGGGCGGCGGGGCGGGGGAAGCCGCCCGGCGGGTGCAGGAGGAGCCGCGACCCCAGGCGCGGTTTCCCGTCCGGCCGCGGCCGCCCCGCTCCGCTCCCCGCAACAGGCAAAACTTTCCACACGCACACACACACACACACGCGCGAGCGCGCTCCCCCCACGCACGGACGGGGCTGTCCCCGCACCACGCACTCCCTCCCTCCCTCCCTCCCTCCACACACACACACACACACACACACACACACACACTGACTGACGTCTTTTGCGCATTTCCTGCACCGGAGCGAGCGGCGGAGCGGCACCGGCAGGCGGGCTGGGGCTGCGCGGCGCGGCGCGGAAGCCGGGAGGGAGAGGCGGGCGGGAGGCGGGCGGGGGGGCGGCCGGCGAGAGGCGGGAGGCGGCGGCGGCTCTGCCCATCGCCAGGGCGGCGGCCGCCCAGCCGGAGCCCGCCGAGACCCGCGCGGCCCGCTCCGCTGCCGGCGCCCCCCCCCGCCCCCCCCACCCCCATGCGCGGGGGTCGCGCCGCTGGGTCCTTGGCCTTGGCGGCGGAGGCGGCAGCGGCGGCGGAGGAGGCGGCGCAGGACGGGCGGCTTCGGGCTGCGGCGCGGATGGAACGTCCCCGGGTGGATGTTTGCTGAGCGGAGACTGTGCCGTAGGCAGGGCTGGTGGGTCGGCCGGTGGTTCTGATTTGCGTGTGTGCGTGTACACGCGTGTGTGTGTGTATTGTTGTGCGGCGCACGGGCAGGGCTGGCGTGTGCAGGCGCCTGGGATCGCCGCTCTGCCTCCTCGGCGCAGGCTGAGCCAGGATTATGGTCTAGGTGGAAGGAGAAGGCTCTTGTTCACCCCAAAGGTTGATTATGCTCGGGTTTTGATTGCATTCGGGGGTTTCTGCAGCCGCGGGCGCCTCCCCCTCCCCGGCGGCCCCCCTCCCTTGTTTTCCGTTAGAAACACGGGCAAGAAAATAAATGTATTCACTGGGTGTCGCAAGAGCAAAGGCTAAATAATCAAAGGTAACAGCAGCAGCAAGGCGAAGAGACCCGCACAGTGTCCTGCTCCCCCACTCCCAGACCTGCCCTCCTATTTATTGGCGAGACCTCCCTCGTTCCCTCCCTTCTTCCCTCCCTCCCTCCCTCCCTCCCTCGCGGTGCGAGTGCGTTGTGCCAGTGTTTAATCCCAGGAAAAGTGCAGCCATCCAGCCATGGTGGTTTTCAATGGCTTGCTGAAAATCAAGATCTGTGAGGCGGTGAATCTGAAACCCACGGCGTGGTCTCTGAGGCATGCGGTGGGTCCCAGGCCACAGACCTTTTTGCTGGACCCTTACATAGCCCTCAATGTGGACGACTCCAGGATCGGGCAGACCTCAACCAAGCAAAAGACCAACAGTCCGGCTTGGAACGATGAATTTGTCACCGACGTTTGTAATGGCAGGAAGATAGAGATGGCTGTTTTCCATGATGCCCCCATCGGGTACGACGATTTTGTAGCTAACTGCACTATACAGTTTGAGGACTTGCTGCAGAACGGGAGCCGCCACTTCGAGGACTGGGTAAGTGTTTGCGCTGTGGATACGTACATACATATGATTTTCTGTGGTACAGCTCTGGATGCAACATCTGTCTTGCAGAGCTAGGTTGCCAAGGGCATGTAATGGCTCTGAAGGCTTTTCATTATTTCCACGCTTTGTTATACTGAGATGGTCATGGTTACTGTATAGCTAATGCATGTGGTCTACAGGCAAGGGAGGAAACACAAATATGCCGAATCTAAGTAAGAGATATATAATTACCCTCTCAGTTTCTGAAATTACGTTACATAAATACAAGTCTAGTTATCTTATTGTGTTTGAAAAGCCCCAGCCAAATACATTCATACAGAATGTTACCACAAAACCCAGATCCAGCACCTAAACCGAGTTCATCATTTGAGTGTGAATGCTCTTGTTCAGCCTGGCAGTGATGAGCCTTACAAATCCAGACCTGACTTCCGATACGAGACACTTCGGGGTCTTCGTGACACTTGAAAGCTCACTGCATCAACACTGATGCTCCTCCTTCCTTCCCCCAGATGATCTACACCTTTATGCATAGGGCTAATGCAATGCTTCTTCACATGCCTGAAATTGATAAAAGGGTCCTGGTGGATTTTGGCCCCAACCAGACAAATTCAGTTGCTGGTATGCACGACATGTCTAACAGCTTCTACAGCATCTTAAAGACCCAGGGGCTAACATGCCTCAGGAGGGAGTAGAAAAAAGCTGGAAAATCCTTGGTCTGACATCCTCAGGTACTGTGATTTAACACGAAAAAAAACAACCAACCAACCAAAGAAACAGGAAACATGAATATGCACAATTCACATTTCTGCAGTTAAATAGTTAAACTGCATATCTTTTAGATAAGATGCATAATAAAGTGATAAATAGTACCTGTCTTCTTATTTTAAACGTGCTCTGCTTGACCAGCCATCTGAAATGTGTATGCTCATCTTTTTGTGTATTTATTTGTTATGGTCAAGGATACTAGTTGGGGCGATATTTCTTTGGCAAACAAAGAACCCAGGACCAGAGTAAAAATAGCAAGAGTTAATAGCTCTGAGTTTCATGTATTCTTTGGGGCTTCTTTACTTAATGCAGTGGTATAAAGGGATGTCAGAATGAAGAAAAGGTGTTGAAGAAATAGACTCTTTATGCTGATTAGGAGCTGAGTAACTTTACTGTTAAAACTTTTATGTTTACAACTTTAAAATATTTTTCACTTCTGCTACATATGTTACCCTGTGATGATTAGGATCTAGATTATTCTGATGCATGATAAAAGCTACACATTAGTAAGCTCAGATGGTAAAACTGGGTGATAGGCAGAGGAAAAATAGCCAAATAGGGAAAAGACAAATGCAGCAGTATTGCAGATGTCTTTTACCTGGATTGAATGATAATCATGTTGTGGCTCTCCTGAAATCAAGGGGGGGTTCATCTTTGAGACCACTGGGAAGAGGATGTCATCACAGATTTTTAGTGAAAGAATAATAATTTTGTATGTTCTTTTTGTGTATGGTACATACTGTGAATTTGTTGCCAAATCTGGAAGGACCTTGCAGGTTGCAGACGCCAAGTTTGAATTTTGGTGGGGCTGGTGTGCTGGGGTATGTCCTGGCTCTGATTTTTAAGGTGAACTCCAATGTCTGAACACGTTCCCTAGATAAATAGTGGAATTTAACAGATTGAGGCCCATTGTAAATGTGATCTGGGAGGAACTACATAGCTGAATCAGATAAATGCTGTGTTTTATTGCACCAGGATTCATTGCTGTCCAGCATTCACAGGGTGGGAGGAGACGAGGGAGTGACTACGCCTGTTGTCTGTTGATGTGATAGAATTGAGGATAAGGCAGTGGATCATTACTGGTCAGCTCAATATAATGCAGTTTCTGAAGCATCACTCACCTCATTTTGTGCTGTAAATCCTCATAGTTTGGATTGTGTTTGTGCAGTACATATAATACACAGTGTCCCTGTATCACAGTTAGAATTGGTGGGGAGGCAAGTATTCATATGATTGTGCTTTACTGTTTCCAAAATCTTCCCATTTACTGAGTGTGTCACTGTAATTGCAATACCAATACCGTGTTTACTGGATATTGTTAACAGTTACTTTCAGAGAACTGGCTCTTACAAAATCATACTGCTTTTTTGTCTGATTTCACTTAGTTAAAATAAGGCCTTCGGCCATGACATCCTTATATAGAGTCCATAGGGAAGTAAATAGATCTATTGGTATCTTCATCAGTGCCTGGAGTCTGTATTAAAACCTGAAAGTCATCTATGAAATGAATGGTTGTCACAGTACAAGGAAAATGCACGTGGCCTAAACCAATGTTAGACTGAGATCTGCTGGTACGATACAGTCAGCTTCTTCCATATAACAAGAAGACTAATTCCTTCATTTCACTCTTGGCTTTTAAGGCAGATATTTTTGTAGTACTCTTTCCCAACTTTATAACAACCAAATTAAAATCAACAATCACAGGAACCCATTTCTCTTTACTGCCTGAAATATCAGATAAATGCAACCTAAGAAAAACTCTCAGACACCATGAAGTCTTTTTATGACATCCTGAGGGTTTCCTTTTAAGCAGTCCTGAAAGTTTGAATTGGGTACCACATACCTGTTGTGTGTGTTTGGTATAATCACACTGATGTCCCTCTTTGCATTCAGAATGATGCAACAGTTCTTGCAGGACTGGACTGTCACTATTTAAATAGTTTTGAGAAAATACTCATGTGCTGAGAATGTCTCTTCTCAATATATTAATAGCTTTAATGCTTTCAATCTCATATAATACTGCATATATTTTTATAAGGAAATGTCACTATTTGTTTTATAATATCGGCACTAGGGTCAAGATTATGTTACTTATCCTGTAAAATATTTCTAGGTTCTTGTCAGAAGTCCAAAATGCAAAAAAGACTTACAAAGAGATAAAGTTTTCTATTTTTCCCCCTGAAAAGAAACTGTTTCTCTCTTTAGTGAGCTCACCTACTTTGATTGGGTTTTGCCATTGTGCGAATCCTTGTATGTTTTCTAAGAGGTGAGTTTTTTAGGAAAATACCCAGTATTTTTCTCACTGTTAAGCCTGTGCTATATACTGATGCCATGGTTACAGTAGAAACACTAGTGATAAACAAGTACAAAGCTTGAAACCATGATAGCGTCTATTGTATTAGGACAAGTCAGATAAATATGCAAAATCCTGGTTCCTTTTATCTACAGAGTATTCAGCAGTTGCAAAAATTCTTTTTAGCCTTATGAATATATATATATATATATATATATATATAAATAAAAAAAAATCAAAGTTGTGGCCTAGAACAGTGGTTCAGATTTTACTGGATGGAAGCTTTTAAAAAAAATACATACTTTTTTTTTTTTCTTTTAAAAAAAGATCAATATAAAATACTTGTTTGAGTTTCTAAAAACGGTATAGTGACAATTAAAAAGATGGCTGCTTTACCAGTGGTGCATCAATACAGACATAACACAGTCAAAGTGTCAGTTCTGCAGATTTTTTTAATCATGGCTACACTGCAGTTTTAAAGAGAGCTTTGGATTTATGACATTACAGGCTCTTCTGTAAGCGCATAAAATGTTATGCAGAATGACACAGAGTATTCAAGAGGATGTTGGTGAAGTTTCATTTTGAAAAATGCAAAACAATAAACAACCTGCAAGTTCTGATTGAAAAGCAAACTAATAAGATGAAAGCTGTGACTATATTTCTTTGAGTTAGGTAATTCAGGTAATAATAAACTATGTCTTTATCTAGCTTTCTTACATGTTGCATATGTAAACGTTGCACTTGGGTTGGTAATGCAGCTACATTTTAATCAGAATTGAGATCAGGAAGGAAAATTCCGCTAAT